CGTGGTTATGGTCTCCTGAACACCAGTCTGTTTCTGGCCGGCCTGCTTTGGACTGTTGTCACCTTCGGCATTTTTCTCAACGTCCTCCGCTTCATCTTCCTCGGCCTTAGCCTGCAACGCACTGAAGACATCGTTGGCATATGACACTAAGTACGTCGACAGGAAAACAGTTGGGGGAGAGGCAAACACGTCGGTCCCAGATCCTTGGCTGAGCTGTTCACAAGCAGCCTTCCAACCCGCCTTGAAGTATATGTCTTGGGTGGCATGGACTTGCTTTGTGTAGCTCTCCTCGGCCTCCTTGAAACCGGTGTTGTTGGCAACCTCCAGCTCCTCCTTCCTTGATTGCTTCAACGTTTCCAGCTCGGTTTGGAGAGCGTCCCTTTCTTGCTCGACGACACCTAGCTGGCCGAGCAACCTTGAGTTGTCAGAATTTGCCATCTCGAGTGAAGCCTTTGATCGCCCCAGCTCGGCTTGAAGGCGTTCGACCTGGCTGGTAGAGTCGGTTGCCTTCTGCCAGAGTCGGTGGATCCTTTCCATCACCAAGTGTTGTTTCTGGATGGCCTGCAAGAAGAAAGTTTGATTAGAAAGGAAACCGAGCAAACACTTAGAGGAAACCGAGCAAACACTTGGAAAAATTTGAACAAAGTATGCAAAGTTCTTACTCGGGTCATGGGCTTGACCGAGGACTTCACCAGCCGGGTGTTCGGTACGTGGTCGCTGCCGACCACGTCGCTCGGCAGCAGCAAGGCTTTGGTCAGATCAAAGGTGAGAAGATGCTCCTTGTCACCTTTGACGGATGTAGTTGTCGGGATCTCCTTACCCCGGTGCTTAAGCTGCAGCTTCTAAGGCGGTGTTAGGTCAGTTTTCACCGCTGGTTGCTCAGTGTTCAGCTCCGCAACTAGCTCGGCAGAGGGGTCGGTACGTGGCCTTTTGTCTGCCCGTTGTTTGTCTTTGCTTGCCTGCCCGACGGAAGGAGACGCCAGTGCAACCACGGTCCCGCTTGATTGACCGGTAGCGGCTGTGCGGGTTGGGATGCTTGGTATCTCGGTGGAGGTAGTTGTGATGAGGTTCTTGATACGGCTTCTTTTGGCCATCTCCTCTGCCTCAGTCAACCGGATAAATGGCACGTCTGGTAATATGGGATCGGGAGGTGGAGATGGTGCACGGAGAAAGTCTGTAACCTTACTCCGGCGCAGAGCTGAGTATCTGTATGTCGGTACGTAACTGAGGAGCTCGTGGCAATCCTGGTTGCGGTAGCGAAGCACGGTTCTGATGGCTGCTTCGTTGGGGTAATGATAGTTGGCTTGCAATGCTTCGATTGCTGCAAAGGAAAGAAGAAAAAATGCTAAGTACAGAATAGTAAAATATGGCAAATTGACCGAGCAGTTAGCACAGCTTACATGTCTCGCCGAAATTCTTGCTGATAAACCAGCCCAATACGTCGGCTGTTTCGTAGTTACCAGACACCCAAAAAAAGTCATCGTCGTGCAAGTCCTTGTCTGGGGTGACGGTCACTATCTTCTCCTTGCCCGGTCTGATTTTTAAATAATAGGCAAGGCCATCACCTGTATGCCCGAGGGTATACCGGTACAGTATCTCGGTTAGTCCTAGGTTGGTTCCTAGCCAGTTGTTCAGTTTGTGGATCCCGTTGATTATTTTGTAAGTGTTGATTGAGACCTGGGTTGGAGCTAGCCCGGTTCGCCACAAGAATTCGCAGATCAGTGGGTTAACCGGGAAGCGGAGGTCCCCTTCTATAATGGACAGCACGGTGAAGGGACACTGGTCTAATTTGCCCCATGGGGTTGTGTCCTCAACGCCGAGCTCTAAATGAACGTCGTCCGGGATATCGTATTCTTCCCAAAACGCGGTTAGGGCAGCCGGGGTGTCGACCAGGAAGCAGTAGCGCCCCATGTGTGGTCGGCTGGTTTTAGCTCGGCTGAGGTAGTTTGGCACAAACTCTTGTTTGATGGCTGCTCGGTCTTTGAGAACCTCGAAGTTGGTGTGGTCCCCTTGGACTCTGCAGGAAAAGGAGGGCAAGTGTAAGTGGAAGCGCGGTCGCGCAAAACGAGCTTGACTTTAGCTCGGTCAGATGGAGTGCCAGACCACCTTGGTTACGAGGGTAAATTCAGAAGCTCGGCCGGTCAAACGAACCAGATATTAGCCTGGTCGACCGGTCAAGTACTTTGCCTACCTCGGTTTCTACAGAAGTTTTCTTTAAACTCGCAATTCGCTCGGTCTTGATTTTTTTTTGGGATAAAAAAAAGACCTGGAGCCCGGTCCGCTCCAGATCTTCAGGTGTTCATCACTAGAGCTGAAGAACAGTAAGGAGAACAAGGGGAATGAGAGGGTTTTGGGGAGCTATACCCTAAAATCTATGGTTTTTGTGCCCTAGAATGTGGAATATCAAATGAAAAAGCGATAAAGATGATTCGAAGGACTTACCAGTTTCGGGGCAGAAGTTGCTTCTTCGAACACGAATGCTGGAGAGGGCAAGAACGGAGCTTGATGAGAGCACTGGAGCTCTGGGACATTTGTAATGTAGGAGAGTCAGTAAGAGGAAAATGTGAATGGGAAATGACGTATATATGGGAGAGGAAGACCGCCAAAAGTTTTGAATATGAAGGGACGTGAGGGTTGGCTGCTCGAGGCCAATGGATGAGCGACGCGTGTCCCAATTAACAGCGGCATCAGAATTGAAGAGACAATAAGGCAAGATGAGGCTTCGACCGAGCAAATTGAGGAACCGAACACAGAAATTAGCGCGGTTGACGCCTTGCGAACTAAGGACTGAGGAAGAGTCTACCCCGGTTGGATCATGTAATCCCAGTCACGCTTTTGCGGACGGAATTAATGGGTAATTGAGAGGGAGATTTATGAGCTGGAAATGGGCCATGGAAAGGGCCGGGCAAATTGAGAGCCGAGCGTGTGTGAGCCATGATAACTTTTGCTTGCCCGGAGATGATGTTGCTCGATTAAGGCGCAAGACCGTGTTGGACAGGAAATTGGGCTACTTGAGTTGCTCGGGCGAGATGATTGTTTGCCATTCCGGCTCCCACGGTTCGTGCGTTTAGCTCGGCAAGAAGGCCTTCGGTTAACCGGCTTGACCTGTCTCGAACTCGGCTTTGCCGGGATGCAACCGAACTTGGACGTTATGGAGCTCGGCGAGTGGAGCACCTGGGCACGCTACGCAGCACAGTTACGAAAGGTCGAGGTGGTACCGCCGGTCTGCCGAGCTCCACTAATATAGCCTGGCAACTTGGTTAGATGGTGATTGTTGAATTTGTGACGACGGATGGAAAAGCAGCACCACGTGTCAAGAGACTAATGAGAGTAGATTTGGAGTGCATAGAGTATATAAGCTTGACTGCGCCCCCCATGCTGGGGATGGATCATTTGGTAAGAAACACTTGAACGTTCAACTCCCTCATCTTTCTCTCTATATCCCTGAGTGTATGCTAACTTGACCGTCGAAGGGGTTTTCCGGCCACACACCGCCGGGTAGCTCACCGCCATTATGTTCGTAGGTCGATCGGACAGACGAGAAGCTTGGTAGAAAGGAGTACGGGCACGGCGGAATATTTGCTCCCCGTACAAAAATATATATTTTTACTAGAGGTGAGAATGGTCCGGATTGGATCGGATTGAGGTAAAATCAGGACTAATCCGTTATCTGCGGTTCTTGAAAAATTGGAACCAATCCAATCTGTTTAAATTGTGGAACCAATCTAAACCAATCCATTTAAACATGGATTAGATCGATTTAGGACCACGATTTTACATAATTAAATAACAAAAAAATATATATAACACTTTAATTTCATAAAAATATAAATATAACACCATATTAGTTTCACAATAACAACATGTCTTTTCATAATAGCGACATATTGTTTTAGAATTTAAACAATCATAAGAAAACTAGTTCTACCATAAGTATTTAGACCATTACAAATTAACGCTAAAAACTAGCAAACAAAAATAATAAAAGAAGATACTATGCAAGTTTAGGTTTGGATTTAAGTTTTAAATAAAATAAGAGAAGATACTATGGAGGAGGGTGTATAATAAAAATATAGACTATTTGTATACGGTCCGGATCGGTTCCAATCCGGAACCATGAGGTTCAATCCGGAACCAATCCGTAAACTACGGATTTTTAATTTTTTAATCTGAAACTGAACCACAGATTCAAAAAACCAATTCAAACCTACTGAATTAGACTGACTGGATCGAATTACGAATTTCACGAATTTCTTGCTCAGTCCTAATTTTTACTATATCAAATTCAAAATCACTTGATAAACATACATCAAATTACAAAACTCATGTTTTAGGACAACAGATGTAATGAACCTCTCATATTCAATACACGATGAACATTATTGTTATGTTAATACGCACGATTTTTATTTTTATTTTTATTTTTTTATATTCATGAATAAGATGTTTATGGTGGACTTTGAATAAGATGTTTATGGTGGACTTTTTATAAATGGTTTTATCATATACTATTTTTGTGTACGTAATTCGCGCATGGGGCATATCCCTATCAAACCGTCGTTGAGGGCAAATTACAAACACCGCTTGAGGTTTCGTAAAAATATAGATTGCTATGTGGTTTGAGTAATTATAAATTATTTTTAAGGGTTAAATTTTTATAATAAATTAAAAAAAATTAAAAAAGAATTTGTATGAAAATAAAAATTTTAAGGGATAATTTATTATGAAAATATAAATCTCAGGAGATAGGATGTAATTTCTCAAACCTCTGGAGAGAATCTATATTTTCTCCAAATCTCGAGGGGTGTTTGTAATTTATCCTTTGATTTATGAACTAAAATGACCAAATTGCCCAGAATTGCCAAAATCCAAAATAATTATAACTGCGAATTATAATCAAAAGGCAGGGGCAATATAGTCAAATTAAAAGATTGGCATTAAACAAAACTATTCCAAAAATACAGTTGTCACTCTCCTGTAAGTTCTTCTTAGGTTTTCATTTCAATATTTTTTTTAGTTAATAGAAGTTTCCAGACTTACCTCCTAGGGTTGGGGAGAGAGAAAGACAGGGAGGCTCGTGGATGCTACCTACCTCCTCATCCTCCAAAATTTCATCGTCATCTTCGATCTGTGGATTGGCTTATATAATAGCATCGACTCGAATTCTAGGGTTCGTCAGAGCTTTGGGTTCTGAGTAACAAACAGGTGCGATTTTGAACGGTTTTTGATTTTTCAGTTGATTTTGGTTTGCAATTTTGTTGACTTCGATTTCCTGCTTTGTATTTAATTGCGGAGTTTTTTTTTTTGAATGAATATATATAGTCAGCAGTGTAGTTTGCTTGAGGATATGTTTCAATCAATGATTAAACTGAAGTTTTTTGAGTAATTTGTTTCTCCTATTTTGTAATCGATTAAAAGGAGTTTTTTTAGTAATTTTGTTTCATTCAGAAGGAAAGAAGATACAGTGGCCTCGTTTGGGAAGATGGCTATTTTAGCTGGATATTTTAGTTTTTGGTTATTTTCCTAGGCTAAAATATTTGTGCTTGGGAAGAGGGTTGGAATTTTTTTTTTAATGTTGGATAGGATGATTGTGAGAAAAAAAGTGAAATGATTATGAGTTTGACGTGAAATTTTGTTATTTTGACTATTTTAGCCTATTTTGTCTTTTTTGGGATTTTTGCCCAGAAAAAAAAGCCTAAAATTTGCTTCCCACACATCTCTAATGATCCATGACAAAAGTTGCCACCACTGAAATAGTTACTTAACAATCACATATGTTAAATTTACCTAATTTTCAACAATTGAAGAGAACTAAAGAAAAGAAGAGAATTTCATTAATGTGTTTGTGATACATAAGCCTTGTACATTTATATACAGATCTCTTGTACAGGGAAGAAAAACAGAATTGTCAACTCAGCAGCCTAATTAACTCTTAACAGATAGAATAATCAATATAACTAACTTTGCTTAATAACTAAATTAATTCTTTACTCAGATACAGTCTGATTAACAACATTAGAGTCTCAACAAAATTACGAGTAAGCAAGTTGACATCCCATATGGGCTCCCTATCTCAGAGCAACAAGAATCACTTGAGAGTTTGTGACAAAGTGATGTGCATAAATATTCTGTAGAATAACTATTTCTGCAAAACAGCTTGGGATATGTTCCAGCTAAGTTAAATTAGTCAGTTGGAGTTGTTATTTATTTCCTCCCTGCGCCCATGAACACACTCTTGTTCTCACATCCTCTTCAATTATTTGAATGACTTTTGATGATTCTCTCATTTTTTGATTGAAGACCCTGTTATTCATTTCTGTCATATATGATGAACGGAGACTGCCAAGGTTAGCTTGAAAATGGTAATTTTGAAGGTCTTCTTCCTTCAATTTTGCAAAGCCCCCTGGATTTCTAAATCCCAATGCTGCTGCCTGTGGGACTCTGTTTATTTCATTTCTCCTCAAAATTCCTATCCAAACAGTAGTAGTTTAAGGTCGTGAAGAATGGATGGTGGCGAGATTTTGTAGTTTAATTGTACAAAGGGTAGCTAGGATCTACATTCATTTCCCAATCACTAAGTTCGTTTTTGGTTGCCAATATACCATGACATAGTAGCTACAAAATAAAAGCACATTTAGGGATATTTTGTTTGAACCTGCCTAGATTGTGTCAAGGAACTGGATTAATGTACACGTAGCATTCCAAGCAAATTTGGTTGTGCGGATACCATTTGTGGAAGGTAACCAAATCACTTATATCAAGTTTTGTTATCAGGGGTTGTAAGGAACTATGGGTATGGACTATGATTTCCCGAGTTTTCTATTCCTTAATCTTGGCCATTTCCTAGATCATTGCTGAATAATGTGTGAGACTTTGGCCTACAGAGATTTGTCCATAATTTAAACTATATGTTCTCCAGACCTTTTGCATGAAGGGCCAATTGGGTGCCAATTTTCAAACCACAAAAAAGATAGTTTAACCATTCCTAACAATACATTGGGTAAGAGGCTCCCCTAATTTTCTGAACTTGAAGATTTTTCTCACTGTCAATTAGTAGGGATTAGGGTTGTAAGTATCATCCGTTATGTATGTGTGTGTATATATAGTTATATATTATGCTAAATAAAGTGAATCTTTGTAAAGCGATTGATTTGATTAGCGATTTGACAACAATGATATTAACCAATATGTATTATCCTACTCCGATTCTGGATGGAAGTTTCTGCAGATAATTTGTTTTTATATTTTCAGTCTGTAAATTTTGATTTTCTTTTTGGTTGTGTCCTCTTATTTCATATCAAACTTGTTGTCTTATGTTTCCTTATTGACTTAATTGTTATTTTTAACGCAAAAAAAAAAAACTGAAAATAGAGGGTGTAAGTGTTGGTGACGGCATACATATTGGCATGTCTCAAATATTATGCATTTGGCATTGTTTTCTATTCTTAACTTCTTTAAGTTTTTCTAAATTTCTAAATTTGTTTTTACCCAAAAATAAGAACGATATGTGTTCTCGAACTTTTCATATGAAAAATAAAAATAAAAATATTGAAAATGAAAATGATACCAAACTGAAGGATGCCTACTTTTCGACATCATATGATTGTTTTTTCTTTTATATTAGCTTTTTTTGTTTCTACATTTCAGGTTACTGATTTTCTGTTACATAGTGTGGGGTGGAAGGGTTTGCTGCTTAGCAGATGTATTGAAAGTTATGAGATCAATCTTTGTTCATTTTGCTAGTGGTTTTGGTATCTGTAATAAACGGGTGCAAGCAAAGTTGCTTTGTTTGAGAGGGTAAGATGCCATCAAATTATTTCTCCAGTCTAAGCACTTCAGTCAAGCGGGAAATCCAGAGAGCGACAATATCAGGGCCAGAAGGTGGGCTCCAAGACTTGGTGGGAGTTTTTGTTGGCCAGGGGAAGTTGTTGGTTGGCAGCACTAGGTTCTTCCATTCCACACCATTTTCAACACTTAGTGATCTACATGTTCTTGTACAACCTGGAACTGTTGTTGCTGCACAATCAAATTTGCATTTAGTAAATCGAAGAAGGAACCTTTCATTTGTGGGAGCACTTTCTCGCACATTTTCTATTCCATCTGTATCAGGGCCTTCATTTCAGGTTTGTGGGTATCACGTTGATCGCTTACTATCTGAATCCAGCCATTTTCCTTTGGGCGTAGAGTCTCAGAAGACACCAATGGCTCTTTATGGTTCTAAGGCTGTATTCGGTGACTGTTCCTTAAATAATCTAACTTCAAAGCTTGGGCACCTCACAGTGTCAACAAATAATGCTACTACTTTTTACAGCAATAGAAGTTTTGACAGTTGCAGAAAAGCCAGCATGAGTTTGAGAAATAAGGAACAACCCCACAATTTATTTCTCTATGGGTATTTCATTTATAATGTTACAAAAAGGAAGGGAAACTCTATTCCAGACTTGGGGTTCGGATTAAAGGTCTTCCACAGCTCATCATCTTCATGTTCATCTGCTGGGACTGCTCCTGATGTGTCCTTCGACAACTCTGGACGGGAGGAACAACTTCCAAGTGCTGCAGTTTCTTCAGAACAGTAAGTTCTCTTCATGAATTTTTTTATTGTTATTTTACAGATTGAAGTGAGGATTTTATTGATTGTTGTTCTGAAACGTTTCTCATGTTTTAGAATAAATCATAAAATATCATGCAAATTGTCAAAGGCTGTTGGAACAACTAGTAATGTTGTAATTCAAATATATGTTATAGGAATACTAGTGAAATGTAAAACAATTTTTTTTTGGGGGATAATAATAACGAAACATCTAATACTGTAGATAAGGTTCCTATTTGAGTGCTAATTTTGCATTAGGGAACTCTGAGCAATTTATCCTCTTACCATAGAATTGTGAAACATTTCAGTAGGCTTCAAAGCTCAACCGACAATATGAATATATTTCACTTATGTAGTTTTCTTCCTTTAACATGAGGTGCATGAATTAAACCTCCTTATGGTACCCAACCAGGTTTGACTGTGCTGCCTTTTCTCCGTTGTCTCAAATGTAAAATTAGATAACTGATTTTAATATCTGTGTTGGAGTTCCTTTTATGTTTCTGTAAAGAAATCCAGTGCCTTTCGGTTACTCATGCTCTTTAGTTTTCATCTTAATTGCCATTTTTGTACCACATGGGGTATTCCGACACCTTAAGTTTAAAACCACGTGGGGGTTCACTGGCTATTTTTGAACTGTAGGGGCAGTCAAATGCTCCAGCCAAAAACCATAAGTGGGTAAAATGAATTTTGCCCTAATTTATTTGTGTACTGGTAATTAAAGCATTTTATGACCAGCAGTAATCTGCATATGATGGCCACATTTGGATATATCAAATCAGAGTAATAATTTGTCAGGAGCCAATTTTCTAGAAAAATATGATTCAATGAAAAGCTATTGACCTCTGCAAATAAGATTTGCTATCTTTTTATTAAGTTGCTTGCTGTTGACTGCAGGAAAGACCTAGTGGATAGAACACTGAAGCTGATTTCAGGTTCATGCTACTTGCCTCATCCTGACAAAGAAGAAACTGGTGGGGAAGATGCTCACTTTATTTGTGTGGATGAACAAGCAGTTGGTGTAGCAGATGGTGTCGGTGGTTGGGCTGATCTGGGTGTTGATTCAGGGAAATTTTCTCGGGAACTTATGTCTAATTCAGTAGCTGCAATTCAAGAGGAGCCTAAGGGTTCTATTGACCCAGCTAGGGTCTTGGAGAAGGCTCATTCGAGCATAAAAGCCAAAGGGTCCTCAACTGCTTGTATCATAGCACTCACAAACCAGGTATGTTATTTCCAGTTTTGGCGCCTGCCTCTATTATTGTAATGCTTGTATTAGTTGTTTCTGAGCCATAAAAAAATTATTTTTGGGGTTTTTGCCTTTTTGGTGGTTAGTTATTTTTGGTGCCTGCTTGTGTGACCTTTTTATGAGAAGTTTCATGCGACCTTCTTACAGTAATGTTTATTAGGTGGGTGGTTGGTGCCTTGGTGGACATTTGTGTCCCAGTCTTTGTTTCGTTCTGAAGACCAGTTTAACACCTCTAGTGATTCATCCTGCTCTTCATAGTTGTAAATCAGAATCAATTCATCTTTAAATTTCATAGTTTCTAAGCTAAAAATGATATTGCTCTCTCTTTTTAATCTTTTGGGCCCTTTGAGATCCTAATATAGCTTTTTCAGTATTGTACTTGGGTTGCATCCCTTTGATGCCTCTTCTAATACAATTATTTACTTATTAGAGAAAGTTGTTCTCTTTGTTTATAGTTTACTAATGTCCCCACTCAAAAAAAAAAAAAAAATGACGAATAAGCCTGAAAATTTACCATACTACACAAGCACTCTTTACTAAACCTAAAATTTGGGAGTGAGCATTAATCAAGGCTTGAAAAAATGATTTTGGTCCACTTCAAATGCCCCCTTTCTTTCAGATATTAAGAATTTGGTTGCCTCACTTTTCCTGGATGAAGGAAACCGAAAGTCATATCTGGTTTTGTGATCAAGTTTCCACCATGCTACATTGTAAAATCTGCTTAAGATTGTCATGTAGAGTTTTGATGGTTTAATTAAATATCTATTTTTTAGAGCTGGACCTACAATTCTGCTTTGCTTTGCAGGGTCTACATGCGATTAATTTGGGAGACAGTGGGTTTATAGTGGTCAGAGATGGAAGTACCATTTTCCGATCCCCTGTACAGCAGCATGATTTCAATTTCACATATCAATTGGAAAGTGGAAATGGTGGTGATATGCCTAGTTCTGGTCAGGTTAGTTATTGCACGCAACTCTTGTGCTGTTCATGCTGGAAGTTTCTTGTGTCAGATTTGCGGATTCTAAATTTGTGATGATGGCATAAATTTGGTAGTTTAATTTAGGTTGTTTACAAGTGATGTAATGGAAACAATTCTCCATTCGCAAAGTATAGATGAACTCTATGCATCCAGTTTACCCAGATCTGCCCACACAGGTAGGCTACCCAAGAAGAGGGGTAGTGCCTCACCTTTTATTCACGGAATAAGTAAAATAAAGTTGAAAGTAGTGATATTTTACTTTCACCAAATGCATTGTTGAATTTTCTTCCCACTTACTACTCATTTATTCTGGAGCGATCCTTAAACTGACTCTGTGTGTGGCTTTGTCCTGAACCTGACTAGTTCTGCTTCTTACATTTCACACAAGAGCCATGGGATCATCTTCAATCAGCAATTTTGGTTTTAGAAATAATTTCGGTGATGATGTCAACCAAACAAAGTCATATGAAAAGCACAGCATAACCTGCTGTGTGATGTCCCAGCAATTATTCAATTTACCTGATTGAATTTGGAATTGATAAACCACCAATGTGGCCTGTGTTTGTTACAGGTGTTTACAATTCCTGTTGCTCCGGGAGATGTAATAATTGCTGGCACTGATGGACTCTTTGATAATTTGTACAACAATGAGGTCACGGCAGTGGTGGTTCATGCCATGAGAGCTGGCTTGGGGCCTCAGGTTACAGCTCAGAAAATTGCAGCACTGGCACGCCAACGAGCACAGGATAAGAACCGACAGACACCATTCTCCACTGCTGCACAAGATGCTGGATTCCGTTATTATGGTGGCAAGCTTGATGACATTACTGTTATTGTTTCCTATATTACAAGCGCCAACAATGTATGTCTTTCTGTCTCTCTTTGCACAGACACAATTTGCATAATATGGGTCATATGTATTGTTCTCAGTATACCTGAAAGCACTCTAGCATAAAATAAAGCACGATATTACATTGCGCCATGTTTTGAAGCAAGTATATTTTTGTTTTTCTTATATTTGTTTGTCTTCAATTATAAACTTTCATACATACGTAGTGGTACACAGATTAGTATTCCAACTTTAGAATCATTATCGTAGTCATACTCATGAATTGTTGATATGAGATATCATATTGCTCGAAACACAGACCAGAGATATAATGTGTTCAGTGCTGTGTACATTTGTGAAACACAATATGGTAGCCAGTGCAAAGTGGCGTAATATCATCTGTGCAGCAGACCTAAATTATCAATATAAGAACCATTGAAGTAAGTTGGTTTTAACAAATATTGACTTCATATAAGAATGGGATGCTATGGTGGATCGCCTCAATATGCTACTCTGTTTGTGTTGTGTGCATTATACATGCTTCAGGTGTGTTTTGTTTAGTGAAACCCTTCCATTAAAGGGCCATTTTCTCCCTCTCGTGTTATAATGAACTAGTGAAAAGGCATTCCTCTCTATCACAAGGCCTTATATGATTATATCCCGTGACTGTTGTATCTTCCCTGTGACTGCTAGCACAATCAAATGTCAGAATTTGTCCCAAATTCTTGTCAAAACTCACCGTCAAATTATAAAATGTGCTTTCTCGACATTTTCCTTGAGCAGTACTATGCTTCCTAGAAATCCAGGGAAGCAGGAAATGAATCTGGACCCTTCTGTACAAATTGGTTCTAACGCCCATTTGTATTTGTTATGCAGGAATCTTCTTCTCCTTCACCTAGCGACTCTGGTTAGAGGCTCTCTTAGTGACGGGTTTCATTTGGGTTGCTTGGCATGTTTTGGCACATTTGATGCCGATTTTGATGGAGAGTTTAACTGGTCTACATGTTTGTTTTCCTTTGGCTAATGAGCCTGATGTGCTCTGCACTCTTGAACCACTACTGTAGATAAATACTTTCTGTAGTTTTAACATATTCTCTGCAAATTTTTTGCTAGGATTGAGGTTAAGATTTTTGGGATAGGGGGTGGATTCTTGTTACCACCAGCATATTGGACAGGTACTGTAAGAAACTCCGACAGAGAAGACAGAGCTCAAAGCTTAGTGTTGTCAAAGATCATTTATGAAACTTGTAAGGGGACATCTTTGTGTCTAAATCTCATGAAAGGTAATTTTTTCTTGCCAAATTCTTGCAAAGTTAATCAGTAATGATCATGCTTCTTTTTAGACTCAATATGGGTAGAGGAATCAGAATTGCAAAGATTTGTGGTTGCACAGGATTGTTCTACTGGCTTTAGGAAATCTCTTATGCCTTGTTTGGATGGTAATAATGAACAAAATCGTGCCAATCTGAGTTGGTATGCCATGTTACGAAGTGGGTCATCTAGAATTTTGTACCTGCAAATTAATGGTTAAATTTTTTGTATGGAGGTGTTTTTTTTGGCTCTCTCCAGTATTTTTTTCATCAAGCAGTTGATGGTCATAGGTATAATGACTAGTTGAATTGTTATTCATTAGCTGTGGCTTTTGGATTAACAACTATATGATGAGGATACAGAAATTGTTGAAAATGATCTCTCATTAAATGAGCATGAATTATGTCAAATTTGGTTAAAGCTTGGGCATGCATATAATTTTGTGTGTTTATGGACTACTAACCAAATGGATCATAAAGTCAAATTTGGTTAAAGATTGGGTATGCATATATATATATATATATATATATGATGTTTATGGGCTACTAATCAAATGGAAAAATCATGGGTAAATGAATCGTAAAGTCAATCTTATGATTTTTAATTGTTTTTTTTGTTAATTTAATTTTTGTTTTTGAGAGGAAAATAAGGGAAAAATTATAGTCAACGGCTGCAAGTGTGCAATTTGATATTCAATTAAATGGTCGCTTGAATCTATGTTCAATCTGAGTTATAAAATAAATCAAAGGAAAATGTTATGGATTTTAAATAAATTATTAAATTTTTTATATGGGGTGAAATTTACACAAATTACACGTATATGGGTTTCATTTCCATGTGAGAGATTGGATAAAAATTTTGATGATTTATTTGGGATCTCTAACATAACTCTAAATCAAATTATATAAATTTAATTCATCAAACGCATGTTCCAGATCGATGAAATTTATCATTTAAATTTGGTGGCTTATTATTAATGATCTAATAATCTTGCCTGTCAATACTTTGATCCAACGGTTGATCAGGATAGAAAGGGTTGCTTTGTTTTGGGGTATGGCTTACAAGTCTTTGCTTGTGTCTCATTTAAGAACATGTTATTTTAATAATATTTTAATTTTTTATAAAAAAATATGTAAAAAAGTAGATAGAGTGATGTAATAACTTATAGTGATTTTTTGACTTTTTAATTAAAATATATAGTTGACAAATGAGGTCATATTAAAATATAAAAAAAAGAAGATAATGTGAAATAAATAAATCAATAAGTAGCTTATTTATGATGTTGCCAAATATGTTGTTTGTCTACCAATTTGTAAGTATTTGAGTATCGCAGCAATATATAACAGTATTATTAATTCATAAAGAAATTATAATTTAATAATAAAATTACAAAATTAAGTTTGTGTATAAATATTTTATTGTATAACTAGAAATGATTATATATATATATAAATAAATACAACTTCATTGAGATTAAAAAGTTAATAAATTGGCTAAAAAAATATTTAGTTCATTTTGCAAATTCAATTAGGGCACTTAGGATAGTCCGACTCATTGTGTGTCCACTTTAAGTGTTTTGATAATTCGAATAATTTATTTGTAAAATTCTGTAAGGATAACATTTGGATATTATATCATATTTATTTGAAAAATGATTAACAAACAATATAATTTTAAAAGCTATATGTTATTAAATTTTTTAAAAAATATGATTCGATCAAGTATTTTTTGTGTCCAATCAATCTAATTTTTAATTAATAAGATCTTTTTCAAAAATATTAGAAAATAAATAATTTAAATTATTAAGAACGACACATAGCAAGCCATATCATACTATTCTAATTGAATATATCAACTGAAGAGGATCACCAAATAAGGTGATAATGGGCGGCACAATTTTAGAAGTTTTAAGTTTTTATAATTCATATAATAAATAGAATTATAATTTTAAAATGATAACATTATAATTATATTAATATATTAATTTATTTATGTAGTACACCGTTACCTATTTGTTGGAAGATTTTCATTTTTTAGCAGTAACTTTTATTTATTGAGAATTTTTAATCAATAAAAGTATCTAATTTCGCTGACTTCCAAGGGGAGCGGACAAGAAACTAGTGATTATGGTAAAAAAATGGTAGTATGATGACGAGAAGTTATTTAGTGATCATGAGGCACGTCTACATGGCGTTTGAGAAGGATTGTGATTGGTAGGAAAAAAATTTGGCAAATGCTATTTTCTTGTTTTTTAACTAAAATTTATAAAAAGGTAAAATAAATTAAAATAGTTAAGAGCATCTCCAACGGTGAATCAAAAATTTCACCAAATCTGAGTTAAAAAATGACCATTTCCTGAATTTGATACTTCAGGCCATCTAACTATAAAAAAATTCAATCATCTTTTCAAATATAAAAATTTTAATTTATTAAAATAGTCAAAAATTAAATAACCTATTAAAATAATAACTTCTCAAACACTCATATGTTTAGTGATTAAAGAATGGTATGACAATTAATAACGAGGATGGACGTGAAGCACCAAATAATTTTTCTATTAACACATCATACATTCGGATATAACCCATATCATCAATCAATGGTTGTTCATTCATGTCTGGTTGCTACATTAGATTTAGGTCAAGTTTGAGAAGACTAAAAAATTATATTTTTTGTCTTTTTGAACTAAAAAACTGAGGTTGAAAATATGGATGTTTGGGTTAACTTTTTGACTTTTTATTGAAAAATGTATAATAAAAAGTTGTAAAAATTGATTTGTAGAGAAAAATTAGAATTGAGAGTTATGCAACTGTAATTGTTGACTTTTGATGAATAGTATTAACTTTTTAACTTTTTGAGTAACTTTTTGACTTTTTTTTTTGAAGTCCCCAATCTTGGCCTTACTCCACTTTACCTACTTTCGAAGGAAAGAATCTCTCTCTCTCTCTCTCTCAGAGTTGCATATGAAAAGACATTTAAAGACTTTTTAATTCAATTGATGCCGTGATTGAGAAGTCTCTCTCTCTCTCTCTCCCTCCGAGAGAGAATCATCGTCGTGTGGTGTATGATGGCAGGTCGTAGAGATGGATCTCTGATGAGAGAGAAGAGCAGTAGTAGATCTCCAATCGTCGTCGCAATTGCCATTGGAATTCTCCTCGGCTGCGTCTGCGCCTTCTTCTTCCCTCATGGATTCTTCTCTCCCGATCCCTCTTTCCCCAATCGCCGACTCTCCAATTCTCAGGTTCTAATCCCTCACTCTCTCTCTCTGTCTCTATGAATGCAATATATATATATTGAATTATTGTTTAGTTACTTCTGAATTTAATGCCTGTTTGTTTCCGAAGAAAATTTAGTATAACTGAATAGAAAGTCAAATGTAAAATTTGTGATTAATTAAAAATAAAATAAAAAATTGTTTTTTGGGACTAAAATCACCACTAGCACATTAGTTTTAGAATTGCAACAAACGAAGGAAAAAAAAAAAAAAAAAAAATTCTATAGAAAAAGATTTTCACTACCTTTTTTTGTTGAAAAATGTTTTTACGCGGAGCGGAAGACCTCTAATCTAATGTTAGTTTGAAGGGGATGCTATATTGTACTTGTACACATTGTGTGTTATGAGACTTTTTTTTTTTTTTTTAATGAAGTTGTGTATGTAAACAGAAGTGGAGTTTATGAGGTTTTATGGTTGGTTATGAACTATTTTTGTTAACGTTTATGGTGTGATGTTGTTACAAGGCTTATCGGCATTTTTCTTAGAATAATTCACCTATACTAACAATCGTACGAAATATTTTACTAAAAATATTAGAGGCCAAATGTGATTGGTTATCAAAACTATCTAATAATGTTTGGACATGTCCGCTTTTAATAAAATCGTTAGGAAGAATTTAAGTAGATGTAGTATTACTCTTTTTATTATGAGTCTTTATGATGTCTTTGCTATGACCCTGTGTAGTGTTTGTTACAAATCATTATGCCTAGGTACGAAAGCAAAAATGAGTATTTTGCTAATTTGAATCAGGGAAAATTGTGATGTTTGTTTGTATGATTGTTACAGTTGAGTTTCTTCTGGGAGAGAAACTCTTGGAATTTAGGGATTGTTCACTTTGAGTTTCGGAGTTTTCTGTTTATGCAAAAAGAGTGTTAGTTCACATGGGTGATTATTGTTGATTTTCATGTGTTTAACGCAAGGTCCAATTCTCAATTTTAAGATTAGATCCTTTGATTACATGCTTTAGTCTGGAGATGTCTGCAACTTTGAAATTGAAGTCGTGTAAATGTCAATTGCAAGCCTTAATTGTGTGTGTGCGTGCGTGCAAATTTGTGTTAGATTGGTTCATCCTCATGTGAATCGGAGGAAAAGATTAACATGCTGAAGTCAAATATCATGGGGTTCACAGAAAAGAATGCGGAGTTGAAGAAGCAGGTTACAGAGCTAGCTGAGAAGTTACGCCTGGCTGAACAGGAAAAAGATCAAGCCCAGAAGCAGTTCATGGCGCTGGGTAAACAGCACAAAGCCGGGCCTTTTGGTACAGTTAAGGGTTTGAGAACTAATCCAACTGTCCTTCCTGATGAATCCGTGAACCCAAGATTGGCAAAAATTTTGGAGGAAGTTGCTGTGCGTAAAGAGCTTATAGTTGCACTTGCCAATTCGAACGTGCAATTGATGTTGGAGGTCTGGTTCACTAGTATCAAGAAAGTAGGCATACCAAATTATCTAGTTGTGGCATTGGATGACAGGATTGCAGATTTCTGCAAATCAAATGATGTTCCAGTCTACAAGAGAGATCCAGATGAGGGTATTGATACAGTCGCAAGGACAGGAACTAACCATGCCGTGTCAGGTTTAAAGTTTCGCATCTTGAGAGAGTTTTTACAGCTGGGTTATAGTGTTCTTCTCTCTGATGTTGACATAGTGTACTTGCAGAATCCATTTGACTATCTATATCGGGATTCAGATGTGGAGTCCATGACCGATGGCCACAATAATATGACAGCTTATGGATATAATGATGTATTTGATGAACCTTCCATGGGTTGGGCTCGATATGCTCACACAATGAGGATATGGGTTTATAATTCGGGTTTCTTCTATATAAGGCCTACAATCCCTGCAATTGAGCTTTTGGATCGTGTGGCTGATCGCCTTTCTCGACAGCCAAACTCTTGGGACCAGGCAGTTTTCAATGAAGAGCTCTATTTCCCTTCACATCCTGGGTATATTGGGCTTCATGCTGCCAAGAGAACTATGGATTTCCATCTATTTATGAATAGTAAGGTTCTCTTCAAGACTATAAGGAAAGACGATAATCTTAAAAAGCTCAAGCCAGTAATTATTCATATAAATTATCACCCGGATAAACTTCCAAGAATGAAAGCTGTTGTTGAGTACTATGTCAATGGCAAGAACGATGCATTGGAACGCTTCCCTGATGGTTCTGATTGGTAGAAATAGAACTGTAGGAGATATTTGATCCACAGGATGCACTTGGTGGTTTTCTTCTTGCTTACACATTTCACTGGATACAGGTGATCAAAAACTGATTACACCACATGAGAGCAATTGTGTAATATCTATCATTGTTTCCTTTTCGTTGTTTTTGTCTTTCAAATTTTGTGTTCTTTTCGTTTTTAACTTCCTCTTGAATACATTCATACTGGTAAACAAACGTGCTATGTTTTGTATACAATTGCAACCAACAATTTGGTCTTTGTTTGGCAGTCAAATATTTGCTTTACACTGTACTGTTCTAAATGTTTATGATTTTATATGATTAGTCACAAAAATGTATGATTAGCTTTGCACCCTATAAAAACAACTTTCCCGGCACCATTTTTGTATGACCCGTTTAATTAGGGTGTCTAAGGTCAAGTTTGGGTACTTCAAAAAAAGTCAAAAAGTCAAAAAGTTACTCAAAAAGTTAAAAAGTTAACACTATTCACCAAAAGTCAACAATTACGGCTGCACAACTCCCAATTCAAATTTTTCACTGCAAATCAATTTTTACAATTTTTTATTACACATTTTTCAATAAAAAGTCAAAAAGTTAACCCAAACATCCATATTTTCAACCTCAATTTTTTAATCCAAAAAGACAAAAAGTGCACTTATTTAGTCTTCCCAAACTTGGCCTAAATGTCTTTATGCAAATGAAATTTTTTCATGTTGTTATCATGGGAATAGACTTTTTTCTCGTTTGGGAACGGACTTTTTTAGTAATTTTTTAGTTTTTTGGCTAAAATATGATATAAAAAAAAACTAATATGTGTGGAATGATTTTTTTGTTTTTTACGAAAAGATGTGTAAAACGTATAGAGAAAAGGAAATTTTTGACTTTTTTGTATGAGTTGTTAGTTTTTTATTTTTATTTTTTTAATAATTTTCTGATTTTTAGGCTAAAAAGTGATGCGGCCAAACGAGCCTTAATATCAATTTTGAGGATTACTTTCGAATGGGTTTACTCTTAAGAGTATTTTGCCTTGCCTCTTTATGATTACTTGAATTAGCTACATTGGCTCCACTTCTGTTTTTGTAATCCACTCAGGGATGTCTGCATTCGGATTTTGCACAATATGAATGGTATTTGCTACAATGTTGGGGGGTTTATGAGGATTTTGCACAATATGAATGGTATTTGCTACAATGTTGGGGGGTTTATGACATTAATATCCGTTTACATAGAATAAACTCTCTTTTTTTTAAAAAAAAAAAATCAAAATTAAAATAGATCTGTTTCCATTTGGCAAGTACCTAACCTGTAGTAGCTAGGGAAGAAGAAGCAAAGGCTTAAGGAAGAAAGCACAAAATCTGTATTATTTTTCAGAATTTTACATACCCCCCATATGGGAGTTCCTCAATTATTTATAACTACTTCTTTGCCTCACCCTTCTAACTGCCTAACTAATTCACAATTGAGGTAACTAACTAACTAATTCATAACTGATGTAACTGAGTATTGTACTCAAAAAATCTTTCACATTTATAAAGCCAACCAGTTGGATTATCACCATAGAAACGAGGAAATTCAATCTTCGCAAATCGTTGATGAGATTGGTAGTCTATCCTTTCCCCACGAGCTTGAAAATCCCCACGGGCTTGAACCCTTACTGGAGAAACCTCTGACTGTTCTTGGCGGAGCATTCTAGAATTGTCACTCCGATCTACATGCTGTTTCCCATAAACGTGTCCTGCCATTTGATCATACTTCATACTCATGGCAGCAATCAATTCCTTGATATCCCCCAAATCTTTGAGAGAACTCCTGATTTCCCCGATTTCCTTCGCATTTCTCTCATTACCCTCCTTTAATGAGCGTAATGTCTCCTCAATTTTTTTAGCTTCCTGGGCTGCTCTAGTTCCGTCGGCCATAGTGGCAGCAGAGGATTAACAGGCCAAGAACCTGGGGCTCTGATACCAATGTAGTAGCTAGGGAAGAAGAAGCAAAGGCTTAAGGAAGAAAGCACAAAATCTGTATTATTTTTCAGAATTTTACATACCCCCCATATGGGAGTTCCTCAATTATTTATAACTACTTCTTTGCCTCACCCTTCTAACTGCCTAACTAATTCACAACTGAGGTAACTGACTAACTAATTCACAACTGATGTAACTGACTGACTAACTAATCTCTCAACCACTACCCAACTAACTTCCTTCAATTGACCCATAATCCAGAATAATCCAGAACCTTCTTGACATAACATAACCTCTGTTACTTAACCCGTGTTTCTTGGTGTGTGTCTTACTTTTCCAATAAGATAATTGAGAAACAAGTGATGAAAAATTCCATTCTCTATATTTTTTGTCTTTCACTTGGATAAAAAACTACCACTATTTTCTTTGTTTTCCCACCTCACGATAATCCGAACCCTATCCAAACGAAGTTGGAGCATTATTATAGCCTCGACTCTTGAGACCTTGTTCACGACTTAGCCAAGGGAAAGCATTGGACTGCTAGTGATAGGGGCCCTGGATTGATTCATCGAAGTAGAGCCCACCCGAAAAAGCAGTCCTTTCAAAAGAAAGAAGATACATCGGATTCTCTTCACGACCGAACCCATGGGAAGATCCATCTACCACCCGCCTTCACTAGTTGCCATAAACTTCTTCCCTTCTGATCGAGCTAAAAGCCTTTCTTTCTTGGTCGGCTACACTATTGGAAGGGAGGGGCTCAGAGACTCAGATTCGTCTTAATCTTACTACTTGTTTGATATGTGTTTCTATTTAAAATTAATAATAAAATTGATTTTAAAATTTTGAAAATGGACACCAAACATATTCCTTTATTTTTATAATGTTACCAGGAAAAAAAAAAATACAATGCAATGTGAAGAAAAAAAAAAAATTTTTTGAATGGGTTTTCAATGCGATTTCTAAACTTCTAAAAAAAATACTAAACTACAAGGACAAAAAGACAAAAAAAAAAAAAAAATGATTCGAAGTATAGGTTTGAATATACCTCAAACTAAAACTAAATTATAATGTTACCAGGAAAAAAAAAATACAATGCAATGTGAAGAAAAAAAAAAAAATTTTTGAATGGGTTTTCAATGCGATTTCTAAACTTCTAAAAAAAATACTAAACTGCAAGGCCAAAAAAAAAAAAAAAAAAAAAAATGATTCGAAGTATAGGTTTGAATATACCTCAAACTAAAACTAAATGGAAAGGGCAAGTCAACAAATATCCCTTTTAAATCAAGTTTTATGTTCAAGTACAAATTTGACGATGTTTTCGTTTTTTTCTTTTTGAAAACGGGAAAACAGATACAAAGACGAAAGGCACTCGAACAAAGTAAAGAAGTTTCTAAAGACAATCAGTTTACAATGGAATTTATCCTGTAAGCCACAACAATATGCTGGAAAAAAATACAACAATAAAAACCACCACCACCATCTCAAGACTATACAAATATCAAAATATTTAAACAGTAGCTAGTAGCTATAGGCTTTTTTTTTTTTTTTTTTTTTTTGGAAATGGCTAATAGCTATAGGCTGTCAAAACGGTTTTTGGTTAGAGGTTCTTTAGTTACAGGATCTACATTAGAACTGATAAAGGTAAATAACAACTCCGGTGATCAACAGGTTTAAGAATCATGGTTTGTAGCAGAATTTAATACCCGTCCATGCTGACCAGACGCAGAGTTGGAGTTGTTTTCTACTGAAGTTTCTTGTCCATGGTTGCTATGCTCACCGTTGACAACAGATCGGACGGCTGGAACTGGATAGCGAGCTTCGAGGTTCAATGTTGCATCCGGTCCGTACAATTGAGTCACCTCTTCCTGTTTCATCAACAATTAGGTTGCATTTGAATTTATGAATTTGAAATGAACAGATTTAGCACCACTCATTCAAGGATTATAGGCCTGATTCAATGTAGCTTTTCAGATATAGACTTCAAGAATGAAATCAAGAGCTTTAGATTGATGGAATTGAAATAACTAGGTAAATAAGTACAGTTTTTTGAAATCTTAATGAATATTTTAAACAAAATCTAAATAAAATGCATATTTTCTTTCTATATTCAATCTTCTGATTTATAATTATCTATATACCTTTCTATAATTTTACAAAATTTAAATCTCAAAGCCCAAAGCTCAAAATTTCAAATACACTAGTCCATATGAAACCGTAATGTTAGAACTTTCAAACTGAAAAAGTATTTTTACTTTGGTAAAAAACTTTTAATTGCCAAGATATATTCTCAGGCATAGATTTCATCCAACCCTGTTAAATTTTTTAACTAAACAGCCAACTAGTTCCCAGTGGAGAATCATAACGGAGGTTTTCGTAAAGTTTCTAATTCTAAAGTTTCACCAGACAAAAACTAGAAAGCAAGCATAAAACAGACCAAAAAAGGACGTGTGCAGAAGAAAAGGGTTAATCACATACCATTATGGAATTATTTTCAGACGAGAGATTCTCGCATTCCTCAGCCAGGTTCTTCAGCTCTTCCTCAAGTGTTCGGTTGTCATTTCTCAACTTTTGCACCCTGGTTTGCAGTTCCTCGCACTCTGCCTGCTCAAAGCAACAAACAATTAAACGAGAGAATACAAAAGGAAAATTAGCAGAAAATTGGAAGTTATGGTTTAAACAAGCTGTAGAAATTAAACAGCTGTGCGAATATCAATAAAAAAAAAAAAATTAAAAAGAGATAACAACTAAAGCAAATTTTTGTATACATCCAAATACCTGCTTACGCAACCTTGACCTCCTAGCTGACTCCCTATTCGACTGCTTCCTCTTTTCTCGTTTTATTTCACGTTCATCCTGTGAAGTCCAAACAGTAAGCATTAAATTAAATTTGTAAATAACATACCACTTATGAAATTCCAAATGTAACTTGGTCCTCCAATATATATGGACATTCACACAAAGAATTAAACAGATGCAAATTAAAAATATTGAGCTCTTTAGATATTTTACTCCCTTTTTTCCAAGTATGTACAGAAGTTATATTACATGTGAGATGATCCAAAATTGGAATAGAAGAAATGTCCGCAAGTAACATAAAGCCATTCTGTTCTGCAGCCACATTCCATTTACATTGAAGATCATTAGCCCTTTAGTCTCCTCTTCAATTAAATATGCCACTTTCACAACAATCAGGTGTACTCTTCCATCTAATGGAAAAGGATTTGACATGTGATGAAATTGACCTTCCAGAAATGAACCACAATGAAGTTCACTACATGCTAGGTATTTCTATTGTTCTTTAAATCATATATCCTAATCAGTTAAACTTGTGTGCTTAAATGACTTTGAGTAATATCAGTTCACTACCATGTAACCACATAGCCCATGAAATATGGCAACCTCATAAATAGCCTAGTTTAGTAATTGTGAATCCAGAGTATATAAGAAAATAAAATATATATATATATATATATTATAAAACATGACATGACTAATCGATTTAAACTAAAAAAGAGTTAGATATGACTGGAATTTTTTTTAAAAATGACTGCAAGAACCATCCATGACATTGTCTGGCAAATTTAGGAAAATAACTGTAGAATTCATACTTGAGTCCACGGGTTATTGTGTGATATGCTCTCGTGCCCAACCACTGCAGCAGGAGCCACCTGTGGTGAGTCCCCAGATGCATTCATTCTCATTTTTATGTTTGTAGGTCCAGAAGGAGATGCATTGCCAATATTTAAATTGGTTACAGGCATGGCAGGCTTCCCTAGAACTGAGACTGGCAGATTTTCACCATCATATTTGCCTACTAAGAAAGATATACAAGTTACAAAACTGATGTAATTAACCATAATAAAAATGTCATAACACAAGGATGAATGTTCTTCATAAAAAAGAAAGAAAACAAAACTACCATCACCAAGCATCCGGTTGAAGCTTCTCTTCTTAGATGCAGAAGAAACCTGAAGGAAGTGATTGAATAGAATGAGAAAACCCAAAAGTTACCATATGTCATAACTAGAATGCTAAAGGTACACCAACAGCCCAATTGATAAGGTTTATGCAGTTTGAGCCACCAATACCAATCACCAATTACACTAGACTTTTAACCAGTTTTTTAGATCCAACACAGTTTTATCAGATAAAAGATGAAAAAAGTGACATAGCATAAACTCATACTTGTTGATCAAGTTCTTCGTCACTTGCTTCTGATGAGCCCTCGCTAGCACTTTCAGTACTGTTTAGAGACAATTGGGTGGAATAAAAGAAAACATAGTAATTTGGTATTTTAAAAAAACAAGAGTTTCAAAATCTATGAATATTATATGGAGCACTAACACACCTTTGTGAAGCATCATCATTTTCAGATCCTGAAATGGCTTTCCCCTTTTCTGCCAAAACTATGTTCCTTGAATTTCCTTTGGCCTTTCCTTCTGTCTCTGTATTTATATTCATGACAGCTGCACCCTGATCCCACAACAAAAATGAATACAAAGAACACATTAGTTGACTAACTTGGATGTTAAAACCTTTTCCAACAGGGGTACAGAGAGGTTCAGAATTGTTCTTCGAATGAATACTAGTTTGAAAAGAGTTAACAATCATTAATCATCTCACAGAAATATCACAGAAAAAATCAGGAATCTAGGCAAAATTAAAACAAAAATTATACAAAACAAATTCATCAAAATTAAAACCAAAATTTACTGTGAGACTGCAGTTACCACAGCCATGTTAGGAGGACCATAAAGGCCTCCATGAGGATAGGGAGCTTGGAATGAAAGTGGAGTTCCATATGATACCAGATGCTGAAAGATCACCAACAAAACTCAAATCAGAACTTTTGTTATGTGAAACAGTCAAGGAGCCATTTGATTGTTACAGCATGGAAACTCTATAAGATCTCCGATGTTGAAGTAATCACCTGATTCCCCCAAACATACGAAGGCTGGGCTGAGGATGCCACAGGTGAGGTGAAATAAGGAGGTAGAGTAACTCCAGCCCCATAATATGCCTATACAAGGATATACACTATTAAATTAAAGACATTTAAATGAACATACAGATCAACAAAATAATAAACCAAACGAACAGGAACCTGAATAGAAGTTGACCAGTCAGGATAGGAAGAGGTGGTTGGTGTTTCCTGTAGACAGAAAAGTAAAAGAACATAAATTTTACATGGATGGAATAGAAACAGAAGGTACTTTGACTGTATGCCTACAGCCATACACTATGAGAGAGAGATATACCTGAGTAGAAACAGCAGGTTTAGAAGACATAGCGGGTGAGCTCTCTTCAACACCCCCCATTACTCAGCAGAGAACATATACTCTGGAAGCCAAGATAATTTCAACTGTTTAGAGTAAGCTCCTGGATATCGTCAAAAACTCCAACAAAATAATCAGATCATACAATGTTCACCAATCAATTACAACTCATGACTTCACATTAGTATTCAATCCATACAAAAAACTTGCACAAATGCTTGAAAGCACTACAGTAGCATGTCAGAGAAAAGATTTGAAACTTGTTGCAGCTAATGTCACAAAAAATTGTTAAGAAAGGATTTCAATGATACAGAATAACACGGTTATGCCTGTGAATACTAGGAAATTAACATTATCCCATTCCATGTTTGGATTTGGACATGGATGGGAATACCTCTGGCAAATGGAGATTTAATTCCCTCAGTGTTTTTTACAAAAGTAACTTTCACATTCCCACACCTTCACAGGTCTCATGACATATCCTACATCTAATGATAAGGTTAATGATATGAATTTTCTCAGCATATGCTTGTTAGAAAAATCTCCAGGTAGTAACTGCTCCAACAGAAGACCAAAAAATGGTTACCGTCGCGTACCACTTGTGCAAATATCATCTAAATTGTAAGCCTTACCAAACATTAGATGATCATCTAAATTGTGGACCAGTACAATTTAGATGATCTACCTTTAACCACATGTCAAGGGGATGTGTGTGTGTGTGTGTGTGTGTGTGTGTGTGTGTGTGTGAGTGAGAGAGAGAGAGAGAGAGAGAGAGACAGAGAGAGGAGAGGAGAGAGGAGAGAGGAGAGAGGAGTTGAGTTCATGCTTCTGTAGAAATTTAATGTATAAAGAGAAATAGAGAATTGTATTGTTGATTGATATAATGTTATTGATTTCTATTACAATGATTCATGATTCCTATATATAGAAGAGGGTGAGTGTGTAGTAGGTAAGGAGTAGGTGAAGTGGAGGTGGTAGTGGTGTAGTGGGTTAGGTTTAGTGGAGTAGGTGAGGTGGTAGTGGTGTAGTGGGTTAGGTTTAGTGGAGTAGGTTTAAGTGGGTGAAGTAGGTGGAGAGTGGGTGAAGTAGTGGGTTAGGTTTAGTGGAGTAGGTGAGGTGATAGTGGTGTAGGTGAAGGTAAATTCTAACAGCTTCTATGTCAAGAGATTGTTATACGCAGATGTCTCATAAATACTAAGATTACTGACAACCAATAGAAATGTGCCGTATTATCCAAATTGTAAGCCTTACCAAAATTTCATCTTCGATAAACATACACTATTTTGTTCCCATCTGACCATCTCCCTCTTCTTGTCTCTCCCCTCCCTAGCAACCACCACCGATCAAAGCCCCTTCTCTCCCTTCCCTTCCTCTCTCCCCTAGACACCACTCCCTCCCTTCCCATTCCCTCTCTGCCATAGCAACCATCACCAACCAACCACCTTCCCTCGTTCCGCTTTCTTCCCTAACCACCACCACAACGACCACCAGCCCCTCCACGTCACTGAGAATGGTAGTTGTGAGACTTCAAAATTGTGTCACGCAACCATTTTTCCTAGAGTGGATAGCTATTGATGTCAAATTTAATTATCACGCAACTACCAAATGAAGTGCAGATTCATTTTTGCATTTGAACAGGATGAAATTTGTAACATAAATAGGGATTGAGCAATTCTCATTTGGTTTGTGTGCAAATTGTTAGTTAAATAGTATAAGGCATAAATCATACAAGATTGTCGGTTTGTAAGTGTAAGTATTCTTTTCTTTTCTTGAAGAATTTTTTTGAGATGGCCACGAGACTCCAATTAGCAAGTTTTGGTTGCCCAACTCTAAATCAAACTCTACAAAAAAAGGAACCAAATTTACACAATTATCAATTCAAATATTTCAAATTAGATTGTATTTTTAAAATTTTCTTTTACTGGCTGTTTCTTGGGGAGAGAGGACGGGGAAGGAGGGAAAGGGTGGTGGTCAGTGATGGTGGTTGGGGAGAGAACAAGGGTAGGGGGAACATGGCGATGGATGGTGGTGGTGGCTATGGGACAAATGAAAGTAGAAGGGAGGGGGCGTGGTGGTGGCTTGGGGAGAGAGGAAGGGGGAGAAAAAATGGTAGTTGGTAGTGGTAGCTAGGGAGAAGGGGGAAGGAAAAGTGACGGTGGTTGCTGTGAAGAGCCTAGAGAGATAAGGGGAGGTAATCAGACGGGGTATAGTGTGTACATTTGTGGAAGATAAAATTTTGAGTAGTCCCAAAATTTCAATGACGTGGAACAATTTTATTGGCTGTCTGTAAATCCTAAGATTTACGGGGCAAGTTCATATAACTTATTTTCTATGCCAAGACGCCTTTCCAATTTGTTCAATTTTTAGGACAATGAAGGTGATGGATCAAATCACCTAAACTGCTTAATGTTTCTATTAAAAAATTCCTTATTGCTTTTTCTTGGCTTTCCAAAATTAATGGAAATATATTTTCTCTCTATAGATTAATGTAACCCAATTAAGTAGTTATAATTTTTTGAGCATTGACTACATAATTCATCTTAAATGCACAATTTATTCCCACAAACAAAGCTTGAAAGTCTTAGAAGTTAGAAGCACCTTTTTCACATGAGATTAAAATTCGCAAAAACACAAAAAACAAACAAAAATGCAAATCAAGCTCTTGTAGGGGTTTCTACTTTCTATGGGTACCTTAATTAGGTCTTGTTCTAAATATACGTATAAAGAGGGCTCTGATTACTTAATTTGGATCATGGATTTGTGGATAGAAGGGGAAAGTGAATGAAATAAAAAATAAATTTTATTTATTTATTTATCACAATCGCGTTCCTTTTTCCCTTTCTCTCCACAAATCAAGATCCAAACACAGTCTTAATTGGCAAAACCCCTTGCGATTCGGAGATATCAACAGCTAATTTAAACATGCATGCATGTCTCGAGAAATATTCTCCAATTTGTGTGTATGTAAATTAATTAGAAACTTCAAACCACAAATTCATAGTAAGTAATAACAACACACGAAAAGAACATCACGATCATACAAAATTGAAAGCCTGGTTGCAAATTTGACAACAAAATCGAAGCCACAATCTCGAATGCTTACCAAAAATACAATCACATATATATACATGCATGGCAGAGAGATATATATATATATACACACATTCATAGTAGAGAGAGAGAGAGAGAGAGAGAGAGAGAGGGGTGTTCTTACGGCGTTGCGAATGAGGTAGGAGGGCAGGTCGAATCGGCGAGGAACGATGGAGAGTGTGAGTCTTCATAGCAGAAGAGAGGAGTATATATAGGTATACCACAGGAGTGACGGCACAGCACATACAAGAAAAGCACAGCGAAAACGATTTTGTCGCACGAGTGTGATTTGCAAATCAACGGCTGATGAACATAAAGTTACGGTGCGTACATACATACCATAACACAACTCCCTTGAAATATCTATGGCTTTTGCGTCAATATCAAATCCGCATGTGTTTTAGCCATGGTTATTTAAAGAGAAGTGGGATTACAATAGAGTCCGTGTTTCAGACATGGTTAGTTATTTAAAAAGTAGAATCGGATAAGATTGTAAAAATTATCATCTTTGTTAGTGTAGAATCTTAAATAGTAAGATTGTAAGCGAAATTGTTACGTTTGTAATTATTTATTTTATTTTTAATATATATCTTCTTTTATTTTTTTATAAAATATAAAATTTTATGACTCTTGATGCAATTTACATAAGATTTTCATTTTAACAACTTTGATTTTGAATTGTCTTACCATCACGGGCTATCACGCTACCCACCCCTTGCAACCAATCGCACACTGTTACATAATGAAAACACAAATTCCAACATATTTCTAAATGTCATTTGCCCAATCGACGTACCACTACGTCGAACATTTTACCAACATGAATGTGGTTACGGGTTGCGTTGTTTAATTTTTGGTCGATGCAATGTTAATAATGATAGCTTTATGTCATGGTGTGCCATTTTATTCAGAGAGGGTCAAAGGGGATGGGGGGAAAATGGGGGATGAATCATTACTCATATATATATATATATATATATACATTTTTTATAAGAATAGAAAATATGTTATGTACATGTGTTTTCTAAAAATAAGTGAGAGGTAAATGTACGCTATCAAAAATGAAGACTGAAGATGGTCATCGACCATGGAGGTGGTCATCAATTGTGATTTCAAACAATGAGTGATAACCATAAATAGTTGCCAACAATTAAGTATGGTGATCGAAGATGATTATCATCCACCGAAATGGATGACTAATAGTACAAAAGTGATTTGGAAGAAGTTGCTTAAAAGTAGTTGTTGTCGACCAAAGGTAGTTATTGGTTAAGAAGGTGGTTGTCGGAGAGGCAGAGGTAACGATTGTTAGATGTGGTGGCATGAGGGGAAGTAGGAGGGAAAAATTATTTATTTATTTATTTATAAATAAGTCAAACTACATTTTTTTGTGCATATTATATACAAATATAAATTCTTGTCATATTTGGATATAATAAGGAGAGAAAATAAAATAAATGATTTATGAAAGTTAGAAGAGAAAAGGAAAAAAGGTTAAAAAAAAAATTGGTATTTCTTTCCATCTTGTTTGGATAAATAAGAGAGAAAATAAAAGAAATGATATCATGTTATATCACTAAATTAACATTTTATAAATGTTAGTTTTTTTCATTCTCGTATATCTAAAAAAATAAGAAAAAATTACTCATAAATCTCATTTGAAAAAAAAGTTATTTCATTTAGTTATAGAAGTTTTTTTTCAAATCAAATAGTCCTTTTTATTTTTAGAATGTTGTGTTTCTTTGATTTGGAGGTTTGAGAGTTTACTTATTTGCCCTTGTATATGATTTTGTTTGAATTTTTTTCTTAATGTTGAGTGTGTGTGAATAAGGTAAGTTTTTACGTTTATATTTTTTTATGGAGATTTAGTGGAGTGATTTATTGATGGATGACGTTACCCCGTTTGTGGTGTTACAAGACACTACATTTTCAAATACTAAACAAACATAAAGATTTAACATTTACATAACAATTTGACTTACAATACCACCACAAACCCACTACAAACAATCACATTTATCCTACCATATTATAACATTGACATTAGTTAACAGCCAAATGACCCAAATCACTAACTAATACTACCATATCCCCAATATCCATAACAATGTCAAAAAACGGGGCCATTTAACATGTACATTACACCTGTTAATACAAACATCATAACGACAAATGCGGCCAATAAAAATCACAAAGTTACACAACATAATCATTGTTCAGCAACACAAAGTTACACTAACTTACCAAATGACATCTACACATACAAAACCTACAAACAGAACAATGACCACACCATCAAAACCCCAATATACTCCAAACCCACATTACCATTTACATATAACAACAATATGATACAAACCTATAACATTACCAACATGAATGAGGGATTGTGCTGAGTGATTTGGGGGTTTATTGATGTTACCTAGTTGATGTGGGTGTATTGATATTGGAACATAGGGTTTGCTGAAGGAGGTGTAGGTGATTTTTTTTTCTTTTCCCGGTGTTACTTCAGTGCCTGTGTTGCTGGCGGATTGTGCAACAATTTACAAGTCAATTTTATATTTTGTTTGTGGTTGGTTTAATGTGTTGGGCTGTGGTTTCGTTATTGATGGGTGTGTCAGGAAGTGTGGACTTTAATGTGTTAATGTTACGATGCCATTCCGGAGGTGTTGTTTGACTGTCATTGCGGGTTGTGTTGTTTAATTTTCGGTCGATGTGGTGTTGGTAATGGTAGCATTATGCCATTCCTGGATACAACAAGTTCAAGGTTGATTGTGATGAAGATTTGCAAAACATGTTGTTCCTTGCAAAGTCGTTCAGGCTTGATCATATTGTCCTCGAGTTTCAATTGTTGCCCATTCTTTAATCAAACCATACCGTAACAACATTTCACAAAAAGATCACCATCACTCATATAAAATTTTACAAACAAAAACTAAAAAGACCATCACGGGCTATCACGCTACCCACCCCTTGCAACCAATCGCACACTGTTACATAATGAAAACACAAATTCCAACATATTTCTAAATGTCATTTGCCCAATCGACGTACCACTACGTCGAACATTTTACCAACATGAATGTGGTTACGGGTTGCGTTGTTTAATTTTTGGTCGATGCAATGTTAATAATGATAGCTTTATGTCATGGTGTGCCATTTTATTCCAGTATATATCTAAATGTCATTCGCCCAATCGACATACCACTACGTCTAACATTTTACCAACATGGATATGGTTGTCATCACACATTACCTAACAGGGACGTAATTTATTTTACAAAGCCATACATTCATAAACGAACCAAACCAAAAGGGGATCCAACCATTTAACAACATAAGGACAAAACCCACTAAACAAGTGCGACTAACATTGCAATTCAAACTATCTAACACTAATTCAATTTAAACCACAAACTAACACATCCGTAAACAAACCCAACCAAAAGGGGACCCAACCATTCAGTAAAAGAACAACAAAACCCAATGAACAAATGCGACTAACATAGCATTTCATTAATATGTAAATCATCAACATTACACTTAACTAACATTGATGTCATTATCAGTCCACATCACCTCCACCATATATACCACTGACAAACAGGGGAAATAATGTCACGACCCAAACCCGCCCCTTTAGGTTTAGCGTCGTAACCGGCTAGTAATCCTTGGATTACTGAAGGCCTCTTAACGGATAGACTTATAATTAGGGGCTGAAGAGGCAATATATAGAAATATACATAGTCCATCGAGTTGTGCAAATATACATGGGATAGATAATCTTAAACTTTTTAAACATACGCGTGACATCAAAAGATACAGTACTTATACGTCATCCCATGTACATATAAGCGAAAATTTTGTTCGTAAATCAAAAGAAACAAAGTTTTAAACATTCACAAAACATGGCCACGAGACTTGATGTAGTCCGGAACCTCCTCGGGAGGCACAAAAGGTGGCTGACAAACACAAAATCCTCCAGGCAACATCTTAAGCTTGGTCACGAGCCTGCTCACCTACATACATAAATAAATAGTGAGCGGGAGCCCAGTGAATAATAACAGAGTAAAGGGGTTAAATGAATGATGTCCCATAACTAATTCAGAAACCAGAGTTCATATCAAAACAGATTCATATTCGTACTCTTGTTTTGAGCATATATAGAAATCAGAGTTCATGCTTAATCTTACATAGCTTATCCATTAGCGCTAATAGATCTCATAGAGAGCATCAAAGGTCATACTTGTCAGTTCCATAAGGAACCTCCAGCCGGGTACGGATAACTTGTCAGTTCCATAAGGAACCTCCAGACTGGGAACGGTTAACTTGTCAGTTCCATAAGGAACCTCCAGACTGGGAACGGTTAACTTGTCAGCTCCATAAAGAAACCTCCAGCCGGGTATAGATAACTTGTCAATTCCATGAAGAACCTCCGGTTCGGGTACAGATAGCATACTTGAATCACAGATTTAATGTCACAAATATTTGTCAAAATTGGACAATCATTTATAGTACAAAACATAACATTTCGTAAAACAACTCTTGTTCCACATACAAAAAATAATTTAACTTCTACATAGCTTTACTAAGTTATTACTCACAGATGACAGATGGCTCCACGTAAACAGACAGAGTAGGCAATTCAAATATCTTGTGACGCGTGACCTACACAGATACAGAACGAATATGTACTGAATTATATACCCGAAGTCTTTAACTTAGTTTTTTTTTGTCTTGGTATGTTTCTACTTCTTATCCCCATTATGGTGTCTTAATCTTGGCCTAGGAATGCCTAGGATGCAATGAGGATACTAAAATGTACTTGGAACCAGTACCAAAATTTGATGAAATTAGGGGTCTCGCTCGAGTGGACATACAAAATGTGAGTGGTCGCTCAAGCGCAACTTCTGTCGCTCGAGCAGTCTGTAAACTTTGAAAAAGTACTGGTTGCATGATTTTTCCGCTCGACGCTCGCTCGAGCGTGAGAATCATACCCTCGCTCGAGCGCAACTTTTGTCGCTCAAGCGGTCTATAAAACATGCAAACTTCTAGGAGCATGCATTCTACGCTCGAGCCAGCTTTTTGTCGCTCGAGCGGAAATGTGAAAATGAAGGTGGTTGATCGAGCGCAAGATCTGTCGCTCGAGCGTGGAAGCAGAATTTTGAAATTTCCAGATTTGCTTCCAAACTTCAAATTCAACCCCAAAGCTACAAATTATGGTTTCTTGGGCCAAAAACTTGAGGAAACTCTTGTAAACTTGGAAAACATGGTGAATTCAA